CAGTCACACATCTGGAATTTGAACTCAGGTTTTCCTGACTTCAGGGCCTGTGCTCTATCCATTGTACCACCTAGCTGCCCCTATAAAGGTAGTGACTCGAAATCTAGCACTCTTTTTGCTGCATCACTCTGTCTCCAGGCTCATCTTGCACACAGGAAGCAATCACTCTCTCTACAGAGGTTTCGGGCTTTCTAGGCCCTTATTATCTCAGTGCTGGGCAGTACACTACCTGTGTGATCTTGAGTACATCACTGAGCAGCAGTTTCTTCTTCCATAAAACGAGAAGGTTGCACTAGACAATCTCTAAAGTCCCTTCCAGATCTGACATTATGGGATTCTGTGGCCTTAACAAAAATTCACAGGATTTTAGAGAAAAATGGGTTGTTAAAGACTGTCTAGTCCAGTCCATGTAATTTTCAGATGGGAAAGCTGACAACAATCAATCCACTAACATTTATAGCCAGGCAAAAAAACTGTCCCTGCTGTAAAGGAGCACATAGTTTGATAGGGAAAACAGCATGCATACAGCTATGTACAAATAAGACACATGCAGGGTAAATTGGGGGTAGTTTAGAAGGAAGGCATTAAGAATAATGCGTGAAATGACTTCACGTACAGTCTATATCAAAGTGATTGCCTTCTCAAGGAAGGAGGGAATTTGGCACTCAAAAATGATACAAATGAATGTTAAAATTGTTTTTACATGTAATTGAGAAAAATAAAATAAAAACATTCTTAAAAAAACTGACTCACTCAACATCACTCAGATAGTTTAATGGGATAGCTGGGGTTTGCACTGAGGTCTTCTAACCCCAAATCCAGGTATCTTGGTACAACTCCTGAATATATGTTTTTCCAAGTTTTGCTGGGATATTTTTCTCTGTACTGTATCCTGACCTTGAATTGACTCACCAACAGTGAACAATCAATTCCTCCTCTGCTCACAATTACAACCTTTGAAGCATCATGGAAAAAATGTTAGACCTGGTTCACATCCCGTCTTTGACATGTACTACCTGTGTGACCTTGGGTAAGTTACATAACCTCTCTCGGTCCAGTTTCCTCATCTGTAAAATGAGGGGTTTGCATTCTGTGACTTATAAGGCTTCTTCCGGCTCTCAGCCTGTTTCTCTCTTCCCATCTCCATAAAATCCTTTCAGTTTTTATATAGAACATTAACAAAGCCAGCAAAGAAACCTCATAGATGATCAAGATCATTTCCTTAAAGTTAAAAATAAACAATTCTGGGAGGCCAGAGACTCATTTGCCAACATAATGGATTGGGACGAGGATACTTCCTCACCATGAATATAGCAGTATGTATTTTTGTCAGTAAAGGATATGACACGCTCAGCAGAGGAAATAATCGTGTGGACAACTGTCACCATGGTAATGAGGGGCCCAGCTGCAAACAGGTAAGAACGGGTCCATCATTTACTCACCTGGGAAATATTGGTTAAGTGTTAAAAGAGAAAATTGCAAGCATAAGCCATAAGTCTTGTTCTCATAGACACATGGAATGTCAGAGCTAGAAAAGACCTTAGAAATAATCTAGTTTAGGAATGGGGAACCTATAGCCTTGAGGCCACATGTGGCCCTATAGGTCCCGAAGTGTGGCCCTTTGACTGACTCCAAACTTCACAGAACAAATCCCCTTAATAAAAGGATTTGTTCTGTAAAATTTGGACTCAGTCAAAAGACCACACCCAAGGACCTAGATGGCCACATGTGGCCTTGACAAGGCCACAGGTTCCCCACCCATGGTCCAGAAGATGAGGAATGGGAATAGGGAGAGAAAACCTGCTAAACAGTCCTTAATTCCCCTCAGGTAGTTTTAAAATATGTTGAATTATTATGGTGACAAAAGTGTCTTAAGGGCTATATAAAGGCATATAAAGTAAGATGGTAAACAGACTTAGAGTGGAATAAGAAAACGAGGAAAGGAAGGGAGTAAGCATTTGTGTAGTACCTACCAGTGTGCCAGGCACTAGGTTAAGCGCTTTACAAACATTATTTCATTTCATTCTCATAACAATCTTGAAAGGTAATGCTATTATTATCTTCTACCTAGTAGAGGAAACTGAAGAAGCAGAAGTAATGTGACTTACCCAGAGTCACATACACACATCTAATAAGTGTCTGAGGTCAGATCTGAACTCAGGTCCTACTGACTCCAGGAGTCAGTCACCAGTAATTCCTTCTTTTAGGGGAGCTTAAGAAATAACTGAATGCTCTCTTTGAGACATTTTCCTCCTTTAGCTAATAATGACCAGGTGTATGCAGAGTTTTCCCTCCATAGTTACCCACCTCTGCAAAGAAGAGAGAGAGGTACATTTTCTTATCTCTTCTTTGAACTTTGTCATTGTTGTTTCGGTACGATTTTGGGTGTCTTTATTCTTTCTCTTTACATGATTGTAGTCACTGGACGTCTTGTTTTCTTGTTTTTGCTCATTCCACTTTGCATCAGTTAAAATTAGTTTTCCCATGCTTTTCTGTTTTCTTCATATTCATAATTTGTTATGACGTAGAAATATCATATTATATTTGCATGCCATAAATTTATATAGCCATTCCCCAATCAATAAGCCTATTTTGTTTCTAATTCTTTGTTACTACAGAAAGTGCTACTATAAATTTTTTAGTGTATTTGGGACTATTCTTTCTCTCTTTAATCTTTTTGTGATATATGACTAACCGTGGGATTTCTAGGTCAAAGGTATGCATAGTTTAGTTACTCTTGGGATATGGTTCAAAATTGTTTTCCAGAATTGTTGGACTAGTTCACAGCTGCACCAACAGTATATCAGTCTACTTGTCTTTCCATACCCTTGAAACAATGACTATAGTCTTTTGTCATCTTTGTAAATTTGCTAGGTGGGAGGTGAAATCTCAGAGCTGTTTTGATTTGTAGTGAGTTGGAGTAATGTGTCATATTTATTAATATTTACAATTCTTCTTCTGAGAACTTTTTATTCAGTTCAATAAATTCAATAAACATTTGTTAAGCACCTGCTATGTGCCAAACACTATGCTAAGCGCTGGGGATACAAAAAGAGGCAAGAGATAGTCCCTGCCCTCAAAAAGCTTACGAGCTAATGAGGTAGACAACATGAAAACAAATATATACAAAGCAAGTTATATACAGGATAAAAAGGAAATAATTAAAAGAGGGAAAGCACCGAAATTAAGAGGGGTTAGGGAAGGCTTCCTTTAACCATTTATCCACTGGGAAATGGCTTTTAGTAGCGTATTTATTATTCATTTTTACCAGATAGCTTTAGTGTGTAAACATAAAAGGGAGTGAACCTATCAATGTGACTTTCCCCAGCACACACCCCCTGCAAACTGCCTTGGAATTGCCCAGCCAAGGAGAAGATTTGATTTGGACAAGAGGGGATTTCCCAGGTTTTCCCATCCTGTGTCCAATGTTGGTTTCCTATTTGAAAACAATTAATGAGACCAGTGCAGCTGGTGAGCCAAAGCCAAAAATAAACTTCATTTTAAATTGATGGCAGGCATGGGCTTGAGTAAAAATAACTCAGGGCCACTGCATCAACACAATGGAAATTAAACCCATTGTAAAGGAAAATAATAATAATAGCTAACATTTAATTAACATGTTTTAGGTTTATAAAACTTTAAAAATGTTTTCTCACTTTATCTTCAATAATGGGGTGGGGGAAACCATACTATTACTATTCCCATTTTAAAGATGAGAAAACTGAGGCAGAGAGAGATTAAGTGACTTGCACAGGGTCATATAGTTATTAAGTAACTAAGGCCAAATGTGAACTCAGGTTTTCCTGACTCCAGGGCCTGAACTACATAGCTATGCAAAATTGGTCCAGTAGTGGGACTCTGTCCATAGGGCTTCCTGATAGAAGGGCCAGCCATGGCCCTTATATCATAGCCCTCGGTATAGAAGTTGGACCTTAGTTCTGTTCTACTTGCATCATAGGATTTAGAGTTAGAAGGGATTGTAGAGATAATTTAGTCCAAATCACTTGTATTCTAGTGGAGGCTGAAGACCAGAGGAGAGGAATGATTTGCCCAAGCTAACACAGGCAGCAAATGTAGACTCAGGATTTTAATCCAGATCCTCTGACTCCAGATGTCATAACTGCATCACACTGCTTCAGGGAATATAAGCAAAATTTTTGAGGTAACCCAACGTTTTCATGGATGTGGGTGTATCTCGTAATAATAGCTGACATGTATCAGTCAACAAGTGTTTACTCAGTGCCTTCTAAGTGCCAAGCACTGTGCTGGGGATACAAAATGAGACGGACCCTGATCTCGGGGAAACTTACATTCTAATGGAGGAGACAACATGTATGTAAACAAGATACACAAAATAAACAAAAGGTAAAAGTTTTAGGAGACACTGGAACCTTAGTGGTGGGGTGGGGGGAGCAAGGTGTGATTTCAGCAGAGTTTTGAAGGAAACAAGGGTGCTTTAAGGTTTGCAAAGAACCTTCCATTCATTCGTTCCACTCCATTCATTCCATTCATTGATTCTCATGAGCATCCTCTGAAATAGGCATTATTGTCATTACCAGTTTACAAATGAAGAAAGAAAGTACAAAGGGTTAAGTGGCTTGTTCAAGGTGAGGAAGCTGGAAAGCTCTGAGGCAGGATTCAACCCTCAGTCTTCCTGACTGCAAGCCCAGCATTCTGTGGAGTGAGGCATGCCTCCAGGTGCTGTAGCTTCCTCAACCCATAAAGTGAAGGAACTGGACTGGGTGAACTGTAAGGTCCTTTCCAACTTTACATTTATGATGCAGTGACCTTACATCAGAGATTCGTGCTTCTGATGAGATGGGTGCTAGGTGAGTGGAGGCAGAGGACATAGCCTCTCTCTCTATCCACCCCATCCCATCTCCCACTATCAAACCTCAATGGTCAGTCGTTGTAAGTTGCTATATTTAAAAAAAAAAATCTATCAATTGGTGGTTGATTCAGCACTTTTCTCCTCTGATGTCTGTTTTTTTTTCTCTGAGGGGCCCTCTGAGGAGCTGGAGACAAGGGGAAGAGAGGAGGAGATAACTTGGAATCCTAGACCTTCAGAGACAGGACTCTTAGACATTGGTCCCAACACTCGAACCCAGGCATCTTGATTCCAAGGTTGGTATACTTTTTGCTAAATCACACTGCCTCTCCAGAATTTTAAAAGTCCTAGATTTCATCAAAGCAAACCACAACAAGGAAGAAACACCATTCAAAGACAGTTCTGTTTTCACCTGACTTTCTCTCTTCTGTTTTGAATCAGTTTGAACTCATAGGAAATCTTATCTCTTAGTCGTTATGGCAAGTCACTCCCTCTCTTTGGGTCTCAGTTTCCTCTTCTGTAAAATTAGGTGATTAGATTAGATACTCTCTAAAAGTCCCTTTCACATTTTACAATTCACGAGGTTATTAAAGTTAATATTGCATTTCTTCTCCCTCCCCTTTCTTTCCCTGCTCAGCTGGTCTATCCCGATGATCTGGGATGAGATGACTCAGCCCTACAGGGACCATCGCCCCTAGATGATCTTCTTTCTTTGCTCTCTTTAGGTTTTCTCTTGTCACCTGCTGCGGCTTCACTGACTGCATGAGGAATTACTCAACTCTAGCTGCCATGCAGTGCACTGGTTCCCCTACTGGCCAACCTGTGCAATGATCCTTTCTCCTTTTAGTTCAACCCAAACAAGTCTGGATTTTTGCAGAAAAGGCTTCTACCATGAATCTAAAGGAAAGTGGGAAGAAGGAAGAGTGGGAGAAGGAAGAAATCCAATACCCTATCCAAGCATTGGAATGGATAATTTTACAAAGTACAAAGATTTCTAGTTCCAAATTAACCAATATTCAGCTAAAGATCAGGTTTGCTGGAACAGATTAGGGGTATTTGGGTCCCTCCCTTTCCCTCTTTTCAACAATATCTGGGAAACTCAACCCCTATTCAGAATTTCAGGATATCTCCTTCTAGTTTCCCAGCATTCCCCATCCCCTATCCCCTCCAAAGATGGAAGAAAGCTCTAGACTAGTAGATCAGAAAATCTGGATTTTAATCCAGCCTTTGCCAATGACTAAAGCTGTGACCTTGAACAAATAATTTGTCTTGTCTAGCCTCGGTTTCCACATCTATAAAGGAAGGTGGTCAGGGTAGATAAGAGGCATCCAGATTGTTTCAATAGTTTGCCATATGATCAACAATCCCTATGTGTGGGTATCACATGAATTGTACTATATGATTAATCACATTCTACTTCATTTACATGATTAAATGAAAATTGGCATCATTCAATTACACAATGGCATTGGTTAGGCCCTCCAGGGCCAGCTAGTTCATATGTATTGGCTGACTAGATAAAACATTTTTTTGGTTGGGTTTGAAAATCTTAGATGTGCCATGCCCCAAAGTCAAGATGGCACATTTGAGCCCAGACCATAAATTGCATGATCAGGAAATAAATCATTTCTAAGGTCCTTCCCAGCTTTGATGTTTTCTGTTCTTGGGTCTTTTCTAGTCTAACATTCTTTTGACCCTTTTACCTTTAACATTCTATGGCTCTGTGAGGATAGAACCAGGCTCTGGTCCCATTCATCTTGTCAGGCTGATAAATGGCTAATGGTTCATAGGATTTTAGAGCTGGAAGACAATCTAGAAGTCACTTAGATTGATCCACTTATTTTTCAGGTAAGGAAACTGAAGTCTGAAAAAGTAAAGAGACAAGACCAGTTTTTATCGGACAGATAAAATTGTTAGTAAAGAATTGAATCCTTGTCTCCTGACTCCAATACCAATGACAATTCCATTATAGCATGCCATCTCCCACTAGGTTAAGATAGAGGAAGTGCTTATTTAAATGCCATGACTAGCACAATCGAAATCTGCCTGGCCAGGCTCATACCCAGTGGGTCTCTCCTGCCCCTTCTGAAGGGAGCAGTCTAATTCTCCCACATGTTCTTCTTTTCACATCCTATTTTTTAATCTCACTACTTCCTCCCCTGTAGACAGATAAAAGTTAGAATCTGTAATGATGTCATTAGGAATAAATCAATGTTCTTTCCTCTTTTTTATGGAATCATATGTTTTAACAAACCAACTCACAAAGTAGGAGCAAAGTCTACTAACAGAGGAGTGAGTTAAGAAAAATAATACAAACCAGTGACTGCAAATGATAGTACGTGCTACCTTATACTTCTGCAATTTACCTTTTGGGGAAAAAAAAGTATACTTAAGTTTTAAAATGAATATTTATTGATAACTTTTATTTTTACATACTTCCATTCCTAAATATATCCCTCCCTCTCCCAGCTTCCCTACCCAGCAAACCACCCCTTATAGCAAAGAATAAAAACTAAATAGAAAAAAAAAAGCAGCTCAGCAAAACCTGGTTATAGATTTTTATAGGCTGCTATAGACTTTTACTAGCTGTGTGATCCTGGGCAAGTCACTGAACTCTCTGAGCCTCAGTTTCCTCACTTGAAAAATGTGAGAAAAAAAATAAAAGGAAAAATGTGAGAGTTGGGTTTTGATGCCCTCTAATGTCCTTTTGTGGGCCACAAATTCTAATCTGTAGCAAAAGTCACTGAGAACTCCAGGCTCAATTCATCAATTTATTAGGGATTCTAGGGGTCCCCAATCAATTGAGTCCAAGATCTTCCTCACAATTAGAGATCCCTTCCCTTGAGTGCTAGCTACTTTTATACACTTGGGAAGCGTTATACTTCAGTGATTGGTTTCAGCAGAGGCTTTCCAAAGGTTGCAAGACCCTTTCAACAGCATTTCAGGACTTTCCTCCACAAGTCATAAGACAGTAGAGTTTGACTAGCACTATCCTAGGGTCCAAGGAAGTTGTGGGTTTGAAGCAAAAGTCACTAGGGAGTGAATGGTAGTGATTCATAGGGCTGAGGAGGTATTGCACCACCAAATTAATCTTATTATAGCATGTTACAAGGGGAGGGATGGAATAGTGCTGCAATTCCATTTTAATTTCATTTCTAACTAACAATATGATCTAACTGATAAATAGAAGTAATGCAATCATCAATACATGGTGAATTAATCATTCATAACTCTTATCCTAGCAGCATTAACTAACATAGCTAACTTAAACTTATTAGGGATTTGTAAGGATGTAGAGGGCCACAGGCTGTTCATGAGGTCTCACTGATGGGCGGAGGCCCCTCTCAGGTGCTGATCTATGAGCAAAAGTTGCCTGGTTTGGTGCTCCATTATATGGATCTTTAACAGTCTTTAACTCCCCTAGTTATTGTATGGTCATTAGCAGTTTATCTGTGATTGGAGTCAGATAAGTGCACAGGATGTGCATGTACTGTCCTTAGCACAGCATGAGCTCTACTTCATTGTGACTTGAGAAGAAGTTCTGTTACTTTACTACTTAAGTGAATGCTTTGTTAAAATTAAATGGAGTTGCTTCCATCTTGTCTCCCACCTCATCAATGCCTATTTGAGATAGAAGGTTAAGTTGGTCTTATCCCTTCAAGGTTAGTATAGGATCCTTGCTCTTGTGGTGAGCTGAGCTAGTCGCCCAACAAACTGGCGCCCAACATGGGGCCCCCTTTGGTAGTCTAAACCCTGAAGGGCAGGCAGCAGAGGAAACTGAGAAAACAACCCACGATCCACAACGTGGGACCCCCTTTAGCCTGAAAAGCGAAGGGCCAGGCCGGAGAAAAGCCGGAGAAAAGGTAGAGAAATCACCCACGGTCAGGACACCGAGGTCTTTGGGAGGCCAGGCAGCCTCCTTGTGAGAGGTCTCCCAATCGTATCCCATGGCAGAAGACTACGGAGAGGTAAGATAAAGTCTTATCATGAAGCAAAATCTAGGTAAACTCTCAGATAAGGAACAAAATGTTAGGGTAATATATAAAGTGATTGAGGAACAGGGGTGCTCGGTAACTCCTAAGAAAATAAGAGAGTTTCTAGATGTTATTGATATAAAATCTCCATAGCACCCCAGAGAAGGGAATTTAGATTTAGAACAATGGAAAATAGTAGGAGAACAATTGACAGAATTTTATAACACCAAAAGCCCGAAATCAGTTCCTCTGGGTACTTTCACTATCTATAATCTTATAAAAATGGACTTGCAAGCTGAAATACAGGGGTGAGAAAAGAAAGTTCCCTGCCTGTACTCAAACAACTTCCTCTTTGTGCTCGCCTAACAATAGTAGAGCCGGATCTCCTGAGAGAGAGAACAGACCCAAGAACAGAGAGGGCAGATGAATGGCCAGAACCCCCTCCCCAATGGGAGGATATTAGATGCACAAAGAATGAGGAAGTTTTAGGAGCTGTGAGAACAAAGGAAGTTCCCGCCATGTGCCATGAGGAATTTCAAAAATCCCCAAGAAAAGGGGAAGGAGAAAAGAAACGTGTAGTCACAGTGCCATCTTGTGGGCATTGTGGAGCATTACAAAGTGAAAAGGTTTCTGAATGAAGGAGTTGTAGCCACCCCCTTACAACAATTATTAAAGCAGTGTAAACCATCAGATTTTGATATTTAACATTCTCCATACCCTGAGCTGTAAGACAGACTCAAGCGGCATAACGAGAGGTCCCTATACAACTACAGATTGTTTTGCCTTTTATAAAAACCAAAACCTTAAGAAAGATTTTGCCTGGTTTTAGAATACCATGAAAAGAAAAGATAAAATAAAATAAAAATAGTATTATTTCATTTGTGTAGGGAATTTCTGACAAGTTTTTCGCTTTTGGATTCTCCCTGTCATTTTGTTCTATGTTTGTCTGTGTCTGTGTGAATGATGGTCTGTGATTAATGTTTGTAATTTGTTTTGATCTTTTACTGCGAGGCACCTAAGGGATTCTGAAATGCTGTTAGTGACTTTCTCCCCTTCCCCCTCCCTAATACCAGCCGCATTCCCAGGAGCGGGTGGATGGGGGAGAGAATGGGAGAAAAAGTACTTCATTATTTAGGTTATATAATTTGAAAAAAGGCAAGAAAATTTAAGCATACAGGAATAAGAAAAGTATGGGTAGAAAGAATAGTGTAATCTGTTTGCATGAATAGCAGAAACACAGATGATTTGAGAGTAAAAGATTTGGAAACTTTTTGAGAAAAAATTCTCTTTCTTTTTTGCATTCTAAAGCTCTGGCCAAAGCTTTGGGTGTAGGATTGAAAGATTATGTTGAAAAATATTCTCTTCCTTTCTCTCAAATTCCAACCCTGGCCAGGTTGGAGTGGGGGAGAAAGAAAGAGAAGATAAGGAGTTTTCCTCTTCAAATCAAAAAGAAAAGTTTTTAAGTATTGGAACACAATCTAAAGATAATTTAGTTCATTCACATTAGCAATATGCATGTTTCAAGTTTTAAAAATCTAGTCTCATTACAAATTGGTACACTTTTATGTGTTATATCAAGCAATTTTTAATAATTTAGATGTTATTAAAATGTGAACTAAAAGAAACTGAAAGGTAGTGAGATAACTGTGTAAATCCAGCTAAATTATTTTATCAAGTCCGGTTAATCTTGTTCTATGATGTTTTATAACTGTCATTTAGAAAATCAGGTATTTCTGTCTTTACCTATGATTAAAGAACAGCTTAGAGCTAAAACAATTTAACTATCACTCATGAAAATTACCAAATTGTTAACTAAGTTATTTGAAGTTACTGTTTTAAAGCTAAGACCTAGAATTCTTAATTACTTCTGAGTGAAAAGGAGGGGCACAAGGCAATTCCCTTAACTTTGTAAGCTTGCCAAAAGCTCCTACCAGCTGTGTGCCAAGGTCGTGCTCTGAGAGAAGAATTTGTTTATGTTATTGAGTTCCTAAACAATTCATTTAGCTTACTGAGAAATTGCAACTTTATATAAATAATTTCTAATAATTGGCTTTTTCACCAAGACAAGTTTAAATGTGGGAAAGAAAGGATGTTAAGTAAAATTTCTTATATATGTGAGTCCTAGTAAATCTTTATTGCTTATTACACTTCTATGAAAATAATTAACTGTATCTGGCTTTAAGCCATAATCAGTGAAACTTACTGCTTGAGGTAAAAGACTCTTAGAACTATAATTAACTTTGTTTTGAGCTTGAATTTGGGTATGGTTGTCTCATTAAATCAGTATTTCCCATTTTCCCTATTATGATCCTTTAAGGAGGAATGTTTCTTACCATGTGCCAAAATTTTGTTCATAACACTATTAAACTTGTTAGTCAGAAATATTCCCAGACAAAAATAATTTATTGTATGGATGATAAACTTTGCAGTTGTCCTACTACTACCAAACTCTCCTTATTAATGCCCAAGTTTTAACAAGACTTTCAGTCTCATAGATTTATAATTACCTCTGAAAGGGTACAGAGGGTGTCACCCTTTGCTTACTTTGGGTGTATTGTTCTGCAGTCTGCAGGTATACCACCAAAATGTTACAAATTAATCAAGATTCCTTGATAATTTTTAATAAGTTTCATATGACTTTTTATGGATATTAATTACTTTTAGCTTGCCTAATAAATCACCACTAATCAATTATTTTAAGATGAAGTTAAACTACTAGGATAACAGATAGCTAAAACTCAATTCATTTCCCCTTAATTTGTGGGTGCGATATTTTACATTTACTGAGAGCTGTTATTTTCTCCCCCACTGTTTGTGCTTTTTCTATCCATAAAACTGACAAAATACAAAATGAAATCTAATGAACTTGTTTGGGTTCCTTAAAATTCACCTGTTTTTATTATTGCAAAGAAGTCAGGAAAATTAACGATGCTTTATGACTTCCTAGCCTTTGATAGTTATTGATTTAAAAGATTGCTTTTTTACTATTCCATTACAAAAAGCTAAAAATGATACATTACATGGATGACATTTTATGTGCTCATCCCAATCCTGAAGTGTTGGAAGAAATCTTGTTAAAAATACAAAATTTGTTGCAAAGTCATGGGCTTCAAATAGCCCCAGAAAAAATTCAAAAACATCCCCATATCAATATTTAGGCCACCAGATACTTCAAGAAAAAATAGTTTACATCCTCCAAAAATAGACCTACAAAAGTTGAAAACACTTAATGATTTTCAGAAACTTATAGGAGATATACAGTGGCTTCGGTCACAGATAAGCATTCCAA